CACTCGTCCTCTGGTAGCCGCATGACGTCGGGGTCGTGAAAGGCGGAACGTACCAGGTCGGACAAGTACGGAGTGGGATCAAACGTAGGCGAGTAATCCCACTTGATGCGGGACGCCTGGACCCGAAGGTCGAAAGGCTCAGCCTGGGTGGAGTCCCAGCCTGCCGCGGCCGCCAACGAGCTAGCCAAGGGCGTCGCGCTGACGGGAAGTTGCCGCATGGGGGCGGGCACTTGGGAAGAGGATGTGAAAGAAGCCTCAAGAGCTGCGACATGGGTGGCCAGGCCATGGAGCGAGACTTCGGTAGAGTCGAACTTAGCGAAAGCTCGACCAAGGTCGCTCTTGCCGCCGCGGGCAAGGCGAACTGCGATCCGACACAGACGCTCGAGGCGACTGCGGATACCCTCCTGGCAGGGTGTGACCGTTGCCCGCACTTTGGCTTCGGCGGGAGCGAAGCTCGGATGGCCCAGGGTGAGCCAGTTGAGCGCAACAACAGCATGCTGCGACAACGTGCGGGCGGCGCGCCTCACACGCCAGCGCTCACGCGCGCGACCCGACAGGTGGCCAGGCGGCGGCGGTAAAGGCGGCGACGGAGGGCACGGCCATGGATCGCGGGGAACCGACTCCGACAGGTACGAGTCGTCCCAATCCGGCGCGCAGAGGGAAGTGCGGGTAAAAGCGGCAAGGGAGCATCGAGTCCCCATCCCGACCTGGGCAAGAGCAGCGGCCCAGTGGGTGACGTCGATGCTGGCGCCTGGGAACAGGCGCAGCAAGGCGGACAGATCGGCCACGAAGGGCGCAGATCTGCCAATGCCCGTGCTGGCACGGGCTGAAGCCCCAGGAGCGTGGGCCTCAGCACCGCGGTGAAACCGACCAGAATGGCATGGCGTGGTGCTGGCAGGTGCAGACGACCTCGGGTCTAAATCCCCTGCGGGCGAATCAACGCGAGAGGGTTCGGAACTGGCAGCGGCCCCTGAGGACAAGTCAAATCGAGGGGCCTGTGGAGCGGCTGTGACCCCTGAGGACAGGTCACCTCGAAGGGGCTTCCCACTGCCACCAGAACCGATAGAACCGAAGGACGGCGCGTCTGAGTCACCGACGGCATGGACTCCGGCAGCATGGTGAAACTGGCCAAACTGGCCACTCGGCCCTGAGGGGGAGCCGGGGGTAGAGCGAGAGTCGCGACAGCGGCACGAGCTCCTCCCTGCGGGGCCGTAACAGCATCGCTGGAGGAGCGCGTGCCTACTCTCACGGCCTCGCTCAGCCCAGGCACGCTTGGCAGCAGCAGCGTCGTCGCTTTCAGCGACTCGCCGCTGCGTGAGCCCTCGGCCAGGGCACGCAGGGCGCGTGCGTCCACCCCTGTGTTGGGATGCGCCGCCATGGAGGGCGGCATCGCCGGCGGCCTGGGAGCCGGCGGAAGCGGCGCGGCAAGGGCCCGCCGCCACCTGCACCAGCGAACTGCGGCTCCCTGGAGCACGGGCCCCAGAAGCGGCCTCTGAAGCACCGACGAGGGCGTCCGTAGACGAGGCAGTCGCACCAGCATGGGCTGGAGCGTGAGCTGTACAGCAGCTACCATCGGCGGCCCCACGACCCCGCCGTCCTCCACGCCGAGTGCGGACCCTACGAACACGTCGGAGCCTGAAGGCGGGGAGTGCGGGGTTGCTGTTGGTGGAGGCCGAGCGGCGACGGGGCCGCGCTATAGTGGCAGTGGCTGCGGCGACGCATTCATCCGAGGAGCCCGCGGCGAAAGCGACTCCTCGACCAGAGCGGAGCGCAGGGACCGCATCGCGGGGCGTCGTGTCCGCCGCGGGCGAGCCCGCTCCTGACATTCCACCGGCGGCACGAACCCCTCCCTGCGGGGCCGCAACAGCATCGCTGGAGGGGCGCATGCCTACCAGTGGGGACGGAGAGGGGCTCAGACCACGAGGGTCGGCCAGCAGGCGCTCGCGAGCGCGGGCAGGGATCGACGCGACGGGGCCCTGGATCCGATTGCACGAGAAGCGTCGGGGCCTCGCTGCAATGGCAGCGGCTGCGGCGACGCCTTCACCCGAGGAGCCCGCGGCGGGGCCGATGAGGCCTGGAGGTGATCCCGCTGCTTGAGTGCCCGCTGCGTTCCGAGTGCAAGCGCCCCGAGGCGTGGGGATCGCAGCTTCGGTCGAGGCACTGCGGACGGGCGTTTCTGGCGCGTCCACCACGCTACCGATGGCAGTGGGCGCCCTCGCTGTGGTGGGACTGCTCGCAAGCGAGACTGCGTGCACAGCAGGGGGTCCCCCGAACATCGCCGGGGGCCCGCCAGTGGCGCGTCTGGGAGCAGAATCCGCGTCCGAAGCGCTCGAAGCGACCCCCCGCCCACCGACCCCCATCGTGGCAGCAGGGGGGGGCGTCGAGGATGACTCGCGAGCAACCGCTGCGCGGGCCGCCCAGGATGCACCAGCGGTGGCGCCTGGCTCCAGTGCAACCGCCACATCGTGGCGCGGCGGGCCCATCGGGGGCGTGGATGGACCCCCGCTTAGACCGAGCGTCTGCGAAATGTCGCGGAAGCTTGAACGAGTGGCACCGAGCGCAGGAGGCTGCGCCGGAGGCGAGGGCGGGGTCCGCAAGAACGGGATCTCGGTTCGCCCCGAATCGAAGGCCCACTGGTGGGACCCAGCACCAAGCATGGGAACCCCCACCTCAACAACGGCCGAGCATGGATAGCGCGACGGCGGCATCCGCACACCCGCATCCAAACCGGCGAGGTCCAGAGGCAGACCCGCACACCAGGCCTCGGGACCCGACAGCGCCACGAACCCAGGCGGTGAATGGTGACACCGAGCCGTCGAGGTACCGCCTGGCGTAGCGACCAGGTGAATACTGCTGACAAGCGCCGGAGTCCCAACCAAGGCAGCGGTCGCGCAGACGTGCGTCGACGGCGGCGCCACGGCGGCGGACTCCAGGTTCGGTTGTGCAGTCAAAGAGGCCGGGCGAACATTGCTAGGGTGGAGAGACGGGTGCGCATGAACTCCCGCCTGTGGGTCGGCGAGGCCCGGCGGCGGCCCAACCCGCCCGACGTGGGAAGGCGAGCCACCACCGACAGGAGGCGACTCCGCACTCACGGCGGCTCCGCCAGCCGCGCGGTCACCGACGGCGGCCGCGGGGCGCCAAAACGGCAGTGGCGACGACCCGGTGCACGGCAGACGCTCGCCGCTAAGCCACGGACCCCCACCCGCTGCATCGGACGCGCGGGAGTCGACCAAAGGCGGCACCCGTGCGCCAGCTTCCAAGCCGGCGAAGCCTGGTGGCGGAGCCACGCTCTGAATGTCGGAGCCCGTGTGCGGGTCCCACGCGTGCATCGGCGGCAGAAAGGAAGTGCGCACCAGAGGGTGCGAAACGTGCTTCTCGATGAAAGTCCACTGCGAGTTGGCACCTCCTGACAGGTGAACCCCATATGTCGGAGCGATGGCGATCATGGAATTTGACGGGGGCACGCGAGCACCAGCCTCCACGTCAGCGAGAGTGGGGAACGGCCCCATCGCGAGCGGGGCGCCCTCCAGCCCAGCGAAGCCTGGCGGCGAGTCCGCCTGCAAGCTCATGGAAAGCGGTGGAGGATCCAGCCCTGGAGGCGGGCGGGGGCGTTGCACCGTACTCGCCAGCCCAGGCAAGTCGGGCGGCTCGCGCGCTGGAGCGTCCCAGCCAGGATAGGGCGGAATCGTCGTAGCGCCGCCGGCGCCCCACCCCGCGGGACAGGAAAAGCCTTCAGCGACCTCGAAGCCACAGGTGTCCGCACGAGGGCTGCTCCGCCAAGCATCAAGGTTGAGCCAGGGCGAGGCGGCGAGGGGAGGAGAAGGAGTAGCGAGGAGGTGGAGGTTAGAAGGGTCCACCAACTCCGGCTCCTCCACCCATAGCGCGGTTGTCTTCGCACCGTTGGCGCCTGTGCCCTCTGACGGGCGGCTCTGAGGGATGCTCTCATCGGCAGTGGCTTCGCTGGCGGCACGACTGGCAGGCAGAGACAGTGCGCCGTCTGGGGCCATCGGGAGGCGGGCGTAGGAGCTGTGCGCCGGAGCACCTCGTGAGACATTGGACTGATCAGGTGCCGCAGCACACGGCGTGCAAGCTCCACCTCTCCTTCCTCCGGTCCTCCCATGAGTCTCCAACTCCGCCACCCCAGAGGAAGAAGGGGAAGAATGGCGGGAGAAAGGAGGGGGAGGTGGAGGAAGGTTTTGCTGCAGAGGAGGCGGCGGGCCCGTCGGGGGGCACCAGCGCGGCGGGTCGGTACCGCGGAAAGCTGGGGGTGCAGCCGCGGACGCCATGGGCCAGGAGGCCGTTGGCGACAGGCGCCTGTAGGACAGGTGGCCTGAGGGGCGCGCGAGCGCCCCGCCTGCAGGCAAGCGGCGTGCAGGAAGGAGTGGCGCGAGCCAACCCGAACAGGGAGGCAACCCCGTGCCGTCACCGACTGGCTGCTCGGCGCAGTCGGGCTCGCCCCACACGAGAACGGATTGACGGGAAAGTGGGCCCCGTGCAATACCGCGCTCGAGGGGGGAGAGTGGACCACCGCCTTGGGCGGCGGCCCACGCGTGGTCCGAGAAGAAAGCCGCCGCCGCGTAGAAGTCGATGGACACCTGAGCAGCGGGGGCCGGCGCAGGCTCCCGGCGCCCCTGGTCGCGCGGGCGCGGGAGGGGCGGCGGGGGCCGAAGCGGGGCAAGCTCGGGCCGAGAAGCTGCAGACGACTGCAATCAGCGGGCGCGATGGGGATAAGAAGAAGCAGGAGGAGGAGGAGGAGGAGGAGGAGGAGGAGGAGGAGGAGGAGGAGGAGGAGAGGGGGAGAGGGCACGAAGGAACGCAGCACAGAGGAAGATAGAGGAAGGACGCGGATGAGAGAAGGAGGCGACGGAGGAGAGGAATGGTGGAGGGACGCGGGAGGAGAAAGGAACAGGGAAGAAGGCAGGCAGAAGCAGACACGAGCAGGGAGGCAGGCAAGAGGCAGGAGGACGAAGATCGAGAGCCCGAAGACGGGTCGCAGGCCCTCAGCCGCCAGCCAGATCCGTCCGCACCGCCATCTCGCGGATTGTGCCCAGCGGCACGGAACCCGTGGCGCCGAACTCGAGGCACACCCGTACCAGCGGGGCGGCCTGCTTCGCCATCTCGGCCTACGGCCGCAGGTCGGTCCGTCGTCGCCGTCCGTCGCCGTGGTCGTCCGTCGTCGTCGTCGTGCGTTCGTCCTTCATCGACCGTCGTCGTTGAAAGCGCGTAGTTCGTCGTCCGTCGTTCTCGTCGTCCGCCGTCCGTCATCCGTCGTGCGTCGCGCGTCGTCCGTCCGAATCGTCGAACGTTTGTCTTTCTTCAGTCGTCGGCCGTCATCGTCGGTCGTCCTTTCGTCCCTCGTCGACCTTCGTCCATCGGTCGTCGTCGTCGCCGAACGTTCGTCGTGCTCGCCGTCCGTCGTGCTCCGTGCGTCGTCCGCCAACTGGCATCCGTCGTCCGCTCGTCGTCGAACGGCCGCTGTCCGCCGGCCCGCGCAAGCCGCCGCCGCGGCTGTCCGAGGGCCGCCTGCGATCGCAGGTCGGTCGAGTCGGTCTATAGCAATCGAACGGATCGGGTCAGGGCTCATGTGTGGAGGACAAGGGGGGAGGAGGAGGAGGAGGAGGAGGAGGAGGAGGAGGAGGAGGAGGAGGAGGAGGAGGAGGAGGAGGAGGAGGAGGGTCTTTGTTTCCAGTGCAACGCTGCCTACCAAATTCCAAAGCGAAAGAGAACGCAGGGCTTGCCTGGCAGGGAAAGGAGAAGGAGGAGGGAGGAGAAAGAGGGGGCACTGGAGGCAACTGAAGCAACCAGCAAGTGGAGGAGGGTGGGGGAGGGGGAAAGGAGGAAAGAGCAAGCTAAGTGGTGCGCTCGCACCGTGTCTGGCATCCCACCCATTCAAGCCCATTGCGCTGATTCTGTCTCGATCGACCAGCGGGTGGAACAGCAGACCATCGTGTTACGCGCAATCAGAACAAGGGAGGTGTGTACATTTGAGGAGGAGGCGGAGGAGGGAACGGAGGGGGAAACGGAGAATGATGAGGAGCAGGAGGAAACGGAGGATGCGCTGATCCTAAAATGAGGCCTACGCTGCTGCGGGACAAGGCGGCGCGGCGATGGGTGCAGGATGAAGGGGGGGAGCTTCTTGGAAGGCAGGGCGCTTCGTATAAAAAACTCTTCTAAGAGGCCTTCGGAGCATTCGGAAAGCCGCCGAGGGGGCCCGACGCCGCCTAGCAAAAAGACCCCCGGGCGCAGAGCGCGGGTCACGCGCACCACTGTGGCGGCGGGGCCCGATGCTCAGAAGGCCCAGGCGCGGCGCCAGCGCGGGCTCCTCGACGACGGGAGGAGGCCTGCGACCGACCACCTGCACACGGCAGGCCCGTTGAAGCAGCGCCCCCCCCTCGCGCGCCGCCCGGCTGGGCCGCTTCCACGAAGGGAAGAAGGCCTGCGAGCGCCGCGCGCTGGGCGCGCGGCGAGCATTGTGCACCTGCAGACGGCAGGCCCGCTGGGGCAGCGCCCCATCCCCACCTGGCGCGCCGCCAGCGTGGGTCTCTCGACTGAGGGAAGAGGCCTGCGAACGCGGTTCGCGGGGCGCGCGGCGAGCATCATACACGTGCCCCCTCGTGCGCCATCAGCGCGGGCCCCCCGAAGGAAGGAGGAAGCCTGCGAACGCCGCGCGCAGGGCGCGCGGCGAGCAAGATACACGTGCAGACGCCATACCCGTTGCAGCAGCCCCCCGCCCCCGCACGCCGCCAGCGCGGGCCCCTCCACGGATTGAGCAAGGGCTGCGACCGCCGCGCGCGGAACGCGCGGCGAGCATCACAGACCTGCAAACGGTAGACGCTGAGACAGCGCACCCTGCCCCCCTCGCGCGCGCAAGCGTGGGCCCTCGACAGAAGGAGGAGGCCTGCGAAAGCCGCGCGCGGGGCGCGCGCAGCTAGCATGCTGCACCTGCAGACTGCGAGCCCGCTGAGGCAGCGCCCCCCGCCTCGCACGCCGCCGCCATGGGTCCCCTCAGCGGAGGGAGGAGGCCAGCGACCGCCCTTTGCACCTGCAGACGGCGGCCCCGCCGAGGCAGCGTGCCGCCAAGCGAACTGAAGGCGGCACGGCCAGCGGCGCCTCCCCCCCTTTGGGGCAGCGGCAGACCCCAGCAGCGGCCCCTCGGCCGCCGACGACCTCTCTGCGCGCGCGCCGGGGCGGCGCTTCCGCACCCTCAAGCTGCGAATGGGAAAGAAAGATCACAGAGCCAACCCTACCAATGATCCGTATTACGGAGACGGTATACGTCTTCCCCTCTCGCGGAGAGTCTCGCTGACGTCAACACCTTGAAAGCCGAATGGGCAGCGGTTGAGGTAGGAGAGAAGTACGAGTGGGTACACGCGCAGGAGTCCACGTCGTCAGTCTCGTCAGCGGTGGGTGTGGCTCGGGAGAGCCCCGCAGGGGACGAAAAGTCTGCCCGACACGAGCAACATTTGCTTTGATCTGCGGCGCGTCGGATCCAAGTTGCGGTCGAGCTACAACAGGGCTGCTGTTGAGCGAATTGGGCGCGAAGGCAGAACGAACGGCGGGGGCGGCGGACGGCCGGAACGCCCCCTGAGCATGAAGCACTTGGGGTTGTGCGATACGAGCAGCACAAACAACCGCACTGACGCGGTTCGCGTCGTCCGTCGCCCTTCTGTTTGCTCGGGGCGTCTCGCGTGCACCGCCCGCCCCCTACTGGTTCTCGGCGAGGACTTCTCGCCGCGCAGGAGCCGAGCCGGAGATGGCTCCAGGGTGGACTGAGCGCACAGCAAGCCAAGCCCCAGGCGGCCCGCATGCCCCCCCCAAGCAAACCAGATGTACACCTCGAATGCCCCAGAGACTGCCCAAGCGGCCTCACAACTTTCTCGGGAAACTCAAACAATTTTGCCGACCCGCGAAGAGCTGAAATAATGATTGACGCCTCCCGCCACCACGGGGCCTCCAGGTAGCTGTTGCGCACCAGAGCTGGAGGCGGCCGCGCCACGCGCAGCAGCTTGTCGTAGTAGTGGTCCTGCGGGGGGAACTACAGTCGGGCTGCTGACAACAAGGGACAAAGCCCCTTCTTGGCACCTAAAGATGCGTTGTTGCTGGGAGTGCCCCTGGCCCACGGTGCCCCCAGGATTTCCGAGGAGGCCCCCATGGCCTCCAGAGCACCACTCAGAAGGCCCAGGGGGCCCAGGGGCTCCAACATGGAGCGAAGAGCTGGAAGCGCCTTGGGCCAGGGGCACCTTTTTAGCAACCCCCGATGAAGAGCCTGGGTGCACGAGAAGGGCTAGAGGAACAACCGCGGAATGAAGCAAGGAACAGCGAGCCCCTTACCTAAACGGTCCTCATTTCGGCTTCTTGACTGTACTGGTACCACCCACCGCGAGGACGGTGCAGACGGGGCCGGTAGATCGCACCGCAGCGCTGATGCATCGGCGATGTGGCGCGAGCCGCAGCCATGTTTTCTTCATCCCGACGCCGCGGGTGCATCGCCACATCAAAAACGAGGCCCGAGAAGCTCGACGGCGAGCGAGGGGGGAAGTGCGAAGGAGAAGGCCTTCTCAGAAGGCGGCGACTTCTTAGAAACCCTCGCGCCTTCTGAGAAGTGTTCTGTGCCTTCGGGGACGGACTAGAAAACTTCTCAGGAGGCCGGGGAACCTCCGAGCCCCCTGAGAAGACCTTCTCCGTCTCACTTCTCACCCTGGCTCGCCGCCGAAAAGCGCACTGAGGTCACCTTCGGACGTCCCCAGGCGTCTCCGTCGGCGCCGACCTCTTCCTGCCACACCCCTGGGCGGCATCGTAGGAGCCGCCCACGGCGCGCTCCGCGCGCCGGTGATGGCTGTGGGGAACAGGTCCAGCACTGGCCACCGAGAATGGGGTACCAGACAAGCACCGAATCGATCTGGCCAGAGCCGATGTAGAATCGGATCGATCGCATCGAACTTGGAGAAACCGATAATTAAATACCGATACCACTGCACCCCAGAACTCTCCCGAGGCGCGTTCTGACGAGGATTTCGAGGCGAATCCAGCCGTGGCGACGAGGGCCTCCCCGTTGAACAGGAAAAGACGAGGAAAGGGCAGTGGTATCGGTGCCTCCCCCACTCCTCTGACTCTAGCCAGCTCGCTTCTGGCCCGAGGCGTGCTCGCATCCAGCTACTTCCGCTCCATGGCTGGACGCCCCCCGGGCGGCCAGGGCCCCCCGGGCGGCCAGGGCCCCCCGAGCAGCCCGCGGACGCCCGCAGGGGGCCCTCCCGCGGGCCCCCCGCGCCCCGGGGGCTAGAGATGACCTCTGCGGGCGCGGCCTCGCGGGCAAGGCCAGGCAGGGCGGCCGACCGCGCCGAGATCGGGGCCGGGCCCGCGGAAATTCGGCCCTCCTCCCTCCTCCCTCCTCCCTCCTCCCTCCTCCCTCCTCCCCCTCCCTCCTCCTCCTCCTCCTCCTCCTCCTCCTCCTCCTCCTCCTCCTCCTCCTCCTCCTCCTCCTCCTCCTCCTCCTCCTCCTCCTCCTCCTCCTCCTCCTCCTCCTCCTCCTCCTCCTCCTCCTCCTCCTCCTCCTCCTCCTCCTCCTCCTCCTCCTCCTCCTCCTCCTCCTCCTCCTCTCCTCCTCCTCCTCCTCCTCCTCCTCCTCCTCCAGCCCCCGCCCGAGAACAGGATGGGAGTCCGCCTGCGAGGGCCCCAGCCCTCCCACGCGGCCAGACGCTTCGCCTCGGCCGGGCGATGGCGGCTGCGCGGACGGCCAGGCAGCACGCTGGCAGGTCCATGAGGGCACTGCCACTGCTCGTGGGGGTCTTCAACCCGTTGAGCGCCGTGGGGGCCAGGGCCGAGGACATCGCGGACGAGGTCAGCAACTTTGACGTGTTCGCGCTTGTGGGCACACAGTCCAGGGCGCCCCCAGGCTATCCGCATGGACTTCAGCCTGCAGCACAAGGAAGACTGGTTATTGATTCAGGCTGGGGTCAGGGAGCGTACACAAATCATTCTACTGGGTGCAGGCTCCTGTGGGGAAGGCGTTTCTCGAAAGATCATCTCAGGAGAGTTTTCCCAACGCCTGCGCCACTACAAGGACGAGTATTGGCCGCCAGATGCAAAAATGGACTGATGGACTTGACGGCGATTGCGATGTATTTTCCACCTCGTCCGAAGACAGCCAAGGCAGGAGCGCACTACAGGGAGACTTGTATGCTGCGCATGACACAGTGGCTGGACCAAGAGCTACTAACTACCCCGCACTCCTCGCTGCCGCTCATCATGACAGATCTCAACGACGGCATTGGTTTAGGTTCTTTGGCAAAGGATGGCTATGTCGGGGAGGCGGTCATCAGCAAAAGCAACGCGACGAAGGAGTTCACGAAGGGGGCGGGGGCGACCATCAGAGATGTGCTGCGGAGGCATCACATGGCAGTCTACAGCGACAACTCTGAGCCCACCTGGTTCGGCAACAAGGGAGACGTGTCTCGCATCGACTACATCATGGGCCCTCTCTCGTGGAATGATGCTCTGCAGAGGAGCACCCCACTACTCCGGATGGGACGGCGGCTTCAGCTCATTCGACACTGTGACTTACGGGACCACGTCCCAGTGCATGCGCACCTATTATATGACAGACTGGCCGTTTGCAACGATAATGACACGGAGCTTTGCCGTGAACGATGGGATAGAGACGCACTTGCACATGCCCTGAGACACGGACACAAAAAGCATGAGTTCTTGACACAATTGAATGGTTTCCTGAGAACAAACATGGAGGAGTGGGTTCGGCTCGGCTTGCAGAAGACACCTGACGACATCTTCGCGTTTCTAGAGAAGCACATGGTCAGAATTGGGCAGGACCACTTCAGCACGCCGCACTTCGTTGACGACACTTACAAAGAGCTCAGGAAGGCCCGTTTGGCGATTTTGCAACAGAGGCGTGACCTGCGAGAAGCGACGTGGGCATCTCAAGCTACTCTGGACGAGGTAAAGGCACAACTCAAAGCTATTTCAAAAAAGTGCGGCAGAGTCAGAGCGCGGGCACAACAGCAGACTCGCACGGCGATCGAGGAGGATATCAATCAGCACTGGGAGGCGAGGAGATTTGCTCAGGCGCACCGCGCTACCATTAGGCTGGGGAACAATAGGACAGGCACTAAACGACGAGACCTTCGAGCTCTACCTCTGGCGAATCCGACGAAGGCCGAGTGGATGGAGGCGCTCAAGCTGAATGGCAAAGATGGGGGAATGGGCGCAGTAGAGATTACACCGCATCCACAAGATCAGGAGGACGAGCTCGAATGTGAAGAACCACAAGACCAGTTGCCTAACATTCCCGACCCGTGGCTGTTCATGGCAGAGGGAGAGGACGTACCTGAGTTTCAAGATGATCACGCTACTGGTGCTTTTCTTGGGAGCAGGCGAGATATCATGAGAATGAAGTGGCATTTGATTCAGACGCCGAAGAGAAAAGCGTGCCCAGCTGGCTCGCCGCCAGCAGAGCTGTTCTGGATGATTTTGCACCCACAGCGAGATGCTTTTCACAAAGGAGTGGGATATGATCTACAAGACTCGGACAATAGCTACATCGAGGCTTGCTTGCACATGGCTTTCTATAATCTGCGCTATTATCAGATCACACCGCTGAACTGGCATGTTCCGGAGTGCTACGCGGCACGGAAAAAATGAGCAACCAGGACCAAAAGGACGGCGGCTACTGCATATTCTTCGCGTGCTGGGCAAAGGTTTTTTCGCTAATTGTATCAAAGCTCGTCGCCCACCGCCCTTGCCAGCCGAACATCACGGATATGCTAGAGGGCGTAGACGAGAGACAGCAATTATGGCTTCCATGATCACAGGTTACACGCTAAGGCAGTTGAAGTGCTCGTTTGTCGACAGCTTCAAAGATATGACAAATGCATTTCCCTCGGTGGGATGGCCATACATGGAAGAGGCGGCTGCTGCCTTGGTACGAGACAAAGATTTACGCCTGGCCCACCAGAGAATTAGACGAGCGCAGGTACTTCTTCTACCTGCAGCAGAAGGTACACTTCACTTTAGACCGACGGAGGGAGGCCCCATGGGGGACCCATTCATGGTGCACTGCTTCCCCAGAGCCTTTGCGCATGCCATAGGGCCGTGGATACAGCAGTGGAGACAGGCAGATAATGCGGACAAAATGCTGGTGGTCAAGTGCCCGATCACGCGACATGAAGTTGACCTTGGTCTACATTTGTACGCTGACGACATCAACAAAAAGATCTTACAGCACACCCCGAGTCAAAAAGAAGATGTGAATCTGGACAAACTGCGTGGCCAGCTGCAGGACTGCGATAAAATCATGGACGAACAGCTGTTCAAGATCGGATTGGCTCAGAACAAAACAAAGCAAGTCAATATCATGGCTATTCATGGCATTGGAAGTGGCATAGCGAGACGGGAACTTCGGAAACGGGATCAACGAAATAAATGGGACGGACAGATAGTGGAGCAGGCACGGCACCTGGGTCCCATTCTAACACATGTACAGAGCTTTGGCATCGAATTTGCGAAGAGAGTTCAAGCAGCTAAAGCGGCATTTTACTCAATGGGATCTTTCTGGAGTGCCAAGCGTGTACCATGGAGGTGGAGACGCACTGTGCTGATCGGAAGAGTGGTTAATGCGGCGCTTACGGCGGTCGAGGCCTTCACCCCTTCTCGGAAGCAGTACGACACGCTCGACGGGGTGATCGCCTCGCTGGCTAGGATTGCGATGAGAGGAGCAGCCTGTGCGCACAACGAGGACGGCACGGTGCGCTCGCTTACGAACAAAGAAGTCTTGGCACATTGGAAGATTCCCGGATCGGAGGTGGAGCTGCGGACTCGAAGGTTAAAGTGGCTGCAGCAGGCGGCCAGGGACAGGAACAACAGCGTCCAGTTCTTCGGGGCACTCTTCGGCACCATCTGCGGGCAGCAGCGGAGCACGGTGAACGTTGATGACTCCATGTCTGTGCTGGCCCACCCTTGGGCGAAGCGAGTACAACAAGACGTTGACTCGCTCATTCGGGTCTCGGACGAGGCTCGTGCACTGCAGGAGCTTGCTGGCCCGCATATCGTGGCCTGGCTAAAAGATCCGCACTTCAGAGAAGACTTCGTCAATATTGATGTCAGCATTCTCCGAGCAAACGAATTCAGCAGAAACGTCCCGCCCCCAACATGCAACCCCCCTGCGCAGAAGAAAGACGATGACGACGAGGAGAAGGTGATTCACGAAGTGGAGGAGGAGTTTAAGTGCCTGGTGGAAGAGGACGGGAGGACATGTGGTAGGGTTTTCTATTCGAAACGGGCCCTTCGCACGCACGTTCGGCAAGTACACAGCATCGTCAACATTTGCTCGTTCTACAATCCCACGAATGTGTGCATCGTGTGCGAAACGGTCTTTGCCACAGCTGTCACCGCACGTCGGCACCTATCTCGGGCTATTCAAAGAGGATATTGCGTGGTCGATCTCGCTCGAGCACTCGTTCCAGCACAAGAGCCAAAACACTACAATGCCCTGGATGCGACTTCGCAGCTGGTTGTTGGCTCGAGCTTCGAGATCACCTCGCTCGCCACCTGCCGTTTCTTCCTGATATTCGTGCGCCCGCCACTGTGGGCAAGAACCTCCCGTATGGCAGACGACAGCGACCAGGAGCTGGAGGTGGAGGACCCAGCTTGTATGAAGGAGATGGGCATCGGGCAAGTCGGCTGGGGCATCCAGCGGCGCAAACGAGGAGCAGCAGGTGGACAGGGCTCGGACCCCAAGAAGCAGAAGGCGGAGGAGCTGCTCGCACAGGCCAGAGGACAAGCAGGCAAAGGCGCCACCAAATCCCAAGTCGTGCAGCAAATCGTGCTCATTCTCGCCAAGCTCGTCCTCAGCATGGCGGGCGACCTCAGGTCAGTCATCAGCGTCGTCTTCGTCACAGCGATCATCCCCTCGGCTGTCCCGTGCATCGAGGCAGCGATCCAGGCAGGCAAGAACTACCACAAAGCGGCGATGGAGCTCAAAGAGAAAGCGAAAGAGGACGAAGGAGTGGACACGGCAGCCTTGGGCAGTCCACATCTTCACGTGTGGAAGGACTTCATCAGAGCGCTCCTCGCGAGTACAGAGGAAGGCCAGGCGCGCACCACTCTGGGAACATACTGGACAGAGAACGTCACGAAGTACGAGCTGAAAGACGCGGCAGCGGAGATCAAGTACTTCAGGGTGCGCGTCCCACAGGGCAAGGAGGCCAAGAAGAAGTCGAAGCGCATGGAGGGCAAGGTGCGGTTGCAGTGGGCTCTCTCGACGACCAAGCACACGAGCTCGACGGAGTCATTCGCTCGGAGATAGTCAGGCACGGCGGGGAGATCTTGATCGGAGCTGCCCCACGCGGGGCTTTGGAGAGGGACGCGCGCGCGCTCTTGAACAAGCTGGAGCCGTCCTAGGAGAGGCTGAAATGAGGAGGATGAGGACCCTGGCAGGAAGTGAGCGCCTGAGTGAGCTCGTGTCTAGGGGTTTAGTGAGCAGGGAAGCGATTCTCGCCTCTTTCACCTCCTCCCTCTCCGAATCTGCTCTGGAAGACCCCAGGGGCCGCTTCATCCCGACCGAAAAAATTCAGCCGCGTCCTAAGGGACGGGGTAAAGGCAAAGGTAGGGGGGGACAAAATCGTCCCCCTGAGCAAGGGAGAGGCTCAGGACTGTCTAGTACCTAGCCTTGTAGGGTGGGATGCCGTGGGGGGCCCCGCGCTGCTTGGTGTGGTGCTGGCGTTTTTTAGTCTCTCCTGGTGAACTAACGTGTGGGCCGCCACCCTAGCGCCCCGAGCTCATACCTCACGGGTTGCCTGGGGGCCCGAGTGTTTTTCCACCAGTGCCAGTGTGTAGCAAAGTTGCAGCCACTCAGGCATGCCGCCCAGCGAATTTCAACGGCAGAAGGGGAGACCCCTCGTACTCTCGTTCGCCCAGGGATGTCAGTCAGTCAGTCTCCTCCTCCTCCTCCTCCTCCTCCTCCTCCTCCTCCTCCTCCTCCTCCTCCTCCTCCTATCTGGGCCCAGCCCGCGGAGACGCGGTAATGAGGCCTGGGCTAGATCGGATTGCCAAGCCGCCTCGGATCTGAAACGGATCGGGTCGCCGACGAGTCGTCCCAGGTCGACGTCGAAATCGGACCGCCACGCCTGGCTCCGGCTGGCCCCAGCCGATGCCCGCAGAACTGGGCCCAGCCCGCGGTAGTTCGATCCAGCATGAGCCCAGTCAGAAGTGGGCCGGGTCCGCGGGAGCTGTTTTCTTGTCAGCGGCAACGTTCCAGAAGGGGTCGAGAAATCCGAGGGATGCATCGGAGCGGAATGGGGCACAAGGGAACAAAAGAAAGAGCGCGGGGCCCGGTGGGGGGAAGCCGCGGGCGGCGGATCACTCTCAGACCGTGAAGATCTTGCGTAGGTCCGCGCGGATTTCTTGGATCGGCGCTGGATCCGCGCGCCACGGAGGGGTGCCCAGCGCCGATCCAGCAATTCCGAGCGGACCTCCGACCGTTTGTGTTTATGCCCCATGATTTTCTTCTAGGTATGAAAGTTTCCTCTCCCGAGGTCCATCATGGATGCAGATGCGCCTCCTGTCCTCTGGTACTCGTCAAAACGCTCGGGCGTGGCCAGCTCCCAGACCTCCTCCTCGGTTCTGGGCCTTGGCGTGGTGTCCACGGAAAGAGGAGCCTGGACCTCTAGGGGGGACGAGAATCATGTCATGCTGCGATTGGCTCAGGCTACGTTCTGGGAGTCCCAGAATTTATTGCGTTCGCTCGGCACAAGAAGAAAGCCTGGAGCTCGCGCAACGTATCATCATCGCCACCACCACCACCACCATCACCATCACCATCACCATCACCATCACCATCATCATCATCATCATCATCATCATCATCATCATCATCATCATCATCAGCAGCAGCAGCAGCAGCATCATCATGAGCATCATCAGCAGCATCATCATGAGCATCATCAGCATCATCATCATTATCAGCACCACCATCATCATCATCATCATCATCACCACAGCATCATCGTCACCATCATCAGTAGAATTATCATCATCACCACCGCCATCATCATCACCATCATCGTCATCATCAGGATCACTATTATTAATATTATCATCATCGTCATCATCATGATCATCACCATCATCATCATCATCATCATCATCATCATCATTATCGCCATCATTACCATCGCCATCATCATCATCATCATCATCATCATCATCGTCATCATCGTCGTCGTCGTGGTCGTCGTCGTTAGCGGCACCATCACCGTCTCCATCATTATCACCAACATCCTCCTGCTCCTCCTCCACCTCATCATGTTCATCACTACCACCATCATTCTCACACTCAGAATTGCAGTCATCACCGTCACCACCGTCATCGTTATCACCAGACTCATGATCGTAATCAGACTCATCTTCATCACCATCACCATACCCATAGTAATAATCATCCTCATCAACATCGTCAGCATCATCAACATCACAATCATCATCACCACCATCATCATCATCCTCAGCCTCATCCGCATCCTCATCCTCATCCTCATCCCCATCCTCATCCTCATCACCAAATCATCCTCCTCATCATCACCATCACCATCACCATCACCATCATCACCATCACCGTCAACATCACCATCACCATCATCACCATCACCATCTCCATCATCCTCATCATCAGCATCAGCAGCAGCGTCATCATCATCATCATCATCATCATCATCATCATCATCATCATCATCATCATCATCATCATCATCATCATTATCATCATCATCATTACCATGGTTATCATCATCACCATCATCATAATCATAATCATCATCATCGTCATCATCATCACCACCATCATCATCATCATCATCATCATCATCATCATCATCATCATCATCATCATCATCATCATCATCATCATCATCATCATCGTCTTCGTCATCATCATCATCATCACCACTACCACCACCACCACCATCACCATCACCATCCGAGCCATAGGTAGAAGCGTGAGCACGAGTCGGATGGCTGCGTGCGGCCGCTCCACCGGCGCTAGGCCCCCTCCGTGCACTCCTGGACGGTGGGCGGACAGCCCTCGGCGCCGCCAGCTGGCAGGCGAGGCGCGGCAGCGACCGGGGTGCTGCGGGGGGGGGGTCCCAGTGCCGGCGGCGGAAGCATCCGCCCACGTGCGACCGAAAGGTCACGCTCAAGGCCTGAGATCCGACGTTGGGTGATCAGAGCAACCACGGGGACCCCAGGGAGAGCTGCACCCGTCCCCAAAGACCGCCCCTTCATCCCGAGCCGTTATTGACGGCCCCGCGGCCCGGCAGACGGTCCCAGAAGCCGAAAACTATGTGATGCCGCCCGCCGTGTTTTTTCGGACCCGACCTTGAGATGCGACGTTGCGGAAACATGCAACATCACGAAGAATCACGATCGGAGCCCTGGACCCCACCGTGCTGCAGCATCTTTCAAGCTGGATCGATCTGTGATGGTCCATGGGCCCGAAGCAAAGTTGCCCGCAGTGAAAAAATGCAACGCCAGCATCTCAGGGGAGGCCGTCTCCTGGCCCGCTGACCTCGCAGTTGTACTGCCAGCAGCGCACGACGCCGATCTCGCCCGTCGCCTCCAGCCGGTCCGCCCAGCGCGGCCAGAGCAACTCCGGCTCGGCGGAGGCCTCCGGCGGGGCCGAGTTGCCGTTGGCGCTGCAGGACACCAGGCCGATCATGCGCAGTACGTCCTCGGCCACGTCCTAGGGGAAGGAGAAGCTGCATAACACACAAACTGTCGGAGACCCGAAAGCATGCGCAGCACGTCCTTGGCAACGCGCTGTGGGGTGTTCGCGCTAGCGGGGCGACAACAAACGGCGGGTGAAGAAGCGGGCACCTCTCGTGCACCTTCTGGGCCCGCGGCGACAGTTTGGGGGCCACTTGGGGCCCCAGCCAGGGCCACTTCTCTGCAATTCTCGATCGCCCCACGCGTCCAGAGATCCGACGCTGCGAAAGAGGTGCAATATCGCGAGAAGTCACGACTGGAGCTCAAATACGACCCCATCTTTCTGAGGCGTTTCCCGAGCCCGATCGATCTGTGATGGCCCCGGGGCCCAAAACAAGGCAAACATGCCCGCTGCGAGGGGGTCCTGCTCGTCGTCGCTCTCCTAAGGCTGGCCCAAATCTGACTTGTATAGCTAAAACCCCGATAGCACCGAAGCGTGCCCCTTTCATGTCTCATCAGTGTGACACTGATGTCCCTGACTTGCGGGGGTTTCTCCCCTGCACACTGACGGGGGCCCAAAAGTGCGGTAGCTGCAGTCTCTTCCTTGGCTGCGAGCTGCCCTGCCAGGACTTTTCAATTGATTCCGCCCCAGACTGGCCACGAGGCTGCTGTAGGGCGGTTTCTGCTGAACCAGATGTTACTTTTCTCGATCTTCGGCCGAAGGCGTCTAGGCTTTTAGGCAGCCTGTCGCCATCAACAACAACAACAACAACAACAACAACAACAACAACAACAACAACAACAACAACAACAACAACAATTCCCACCAGCCCTCTGGCGTAGGAGGTTGAATGGATTTTGTTGTCTCTTTGCCAAAATCCCTCCTTCCCTTGTTCGGGGGAGGGGCTGGTCACTGTTCCTTATTGATAACCACCCCTCCCCCAGACGACCGGCAGCCAACCTGGACCAATGAGACCCCCCACACCCTCGCATAAAGCTGTACAAAATGCGTCTTACCTCCAAATTTGAAGCATGCGCGGGCGCCCCGCGACCACTTTGCATTGGTTTTTGGCAGGGCCCCAAGACGGAATGTTTGGCCCTCAAAGGGGGGACTAAATTGAGGACCCCCTTTTTTTAGCCACGGGGGTCAAGACGACTCCGAGAGGCCCCCCCGACCCGCCCAAGAAATTCCAGAGGACCCCAAAATGTCACAAATAAACACCAAAAAGGTACCCAAGAAAGCCCCAGCAAGCTCCACGGAAACCCCAAGAGAGACCCAAGATGGCTCCAAAAGACCACAGATAAATACATCAGAGGCGGTTGTCGCACAAAACAATTCGCTTGGCGATCAAGGCAGCTCGCCTGGCGATCTTCTTCTGGATGGGCTGGTGGGGATACTTTTTGTCGCGGCCGCAGGCGAGCGCGCCAGCGGCGTCAGAGGTCGGGCGGGCTACGCGCGAGCCTAATTACCCAGCGCACGGATACCGACGGCCGAACCTAAGCTGCCGAAGCTGCCTAAGCTGCCGGGCTGCGCGAGGAGGTGCCAGGAAGCGGGGCAGGGCCCGAAACCTTGCAAACGGGCGATGCAAACTGCAACCAAGACCAGGATCCGGGGGCAGTGCCGATGCACAAATTGAACCAAGGAGCTATACGCAGCCGAAAGGGCGCGGCAAGGTCACAGACAGCGAAACTGACAAGTGACCGCAGAGGGCGTGTAGGACTTGACGTAGGATAAACCACACGAGACATCCATGCACCCAGCCCCAGAGGGGGGCAGCTCGCTTGCAATGCGCTCCAGGAGGTAAGTAGCACCGATGGCCAGGAATACGTCACTGACCAGGAACCAGTGCGAGCGGCGCCACCGAAGTCGCACACTCACTCCTGAGAGAAAAGCTGGTGGGGATACTTTTTGGTTGGCGGCCCCCAGCTGGTGGGGATACTTTTTTTGTTCGGCGGCCCGCAAGGAAAAGTCCAGAGGGCGTGTCAGAAGGCAGTGGGGCGCAATGCCAGAAAATTAGTGAAGGCCAGGCCACGACTGGAGGAAGCCGCCAAGAGGGCGCCAACCCACACACGTGCAACATGCAGAACAGGGCAGCAAGCCAGAGTGACCGACTGTCCTAACAACAGCCTGGTGGGGATACGCGAAGCGTCAATCATTTGCAGCGCCGGGATCTCGGGGCTTAAAGCCCCCGCGTTGCCGTCTGCCCGGTCCTGGCCCGCGCCCGCCTCCTTCATGATGCGGTCCGCGTTCGGGTAGCTGCCCTTCCAGGAGAGCGTGGGCGGCGCACTCGCAGCGACCCTGGCCCCATGCCAGGCCCCGGATCGGTGCATGCGCCCTCCCAGCCTGGCATGGAGGCCTGTGCACCGATCCTGGGCCCAGAGCTGGCATGGTCGGGGTCCTTGCAGATGCGTGCGGTGAGTGCCCATCATACCTCGTGACTTTTTCGGCAACGTGGCTCCCAGGAAGTCTGGACCTTTTCCGTCCGTCTTACGGATCCCAGTTCCCGGCGCAGTGCCCGGCGCGCCCCGCCGGCTGACAGACGCGCTTGCGACCGCCAGCGCTGCAAACCAAAAAAGTTGTTCCCCGCCCGACAGGCCCAGGCCCAAAGTTTGCCAGTGCTCCCTGGGTATCCCGCCTCACGTCTTCGACGAGTGACGGCTGCATACCGCATCCCGCCTCGCGTTCTCTGATGGGGATCGCTCGAAGCAAGATGACTCATCCCGAGCAATTCGTTGGCGGTCCCGGGGCCTGGTGAAGGCCCCGGAGACCGAAAATGGGCATGAACCTCCCGTGGTTATATCTCCACACTTCGAGGAAGTCTGCCCTGCAATCCGCCGATCTGATTTTGTCGATCCGCCGCCAGAGGTCCCGCGTTCCTTTTTTTTCCAGCTCGAGGGGTCCAGATTCAAGCGAAGCACTGGATAGCACTGCATTCGTAACTGAAGAGATGCGTCACCTCTAAACTCCGCCCGAGGTTGTACCCTGAGGAGGCTTAACCTACGAAACCGACGTATCTATCTGCAACGATGTGGACCAGAGAATGGGCCCCAGAGGCCGAAACGAGGAAAAGCGCCGGGATTGAAAAAAACACATCGCCAGGGATCTTGGGGAAACCAAGAGGTACCAATACCGCATTTCCCCTGACCTCTCCCTGGGTGCGCTCTGAGCAAAATTTCAGGATGAATCCAGCCATGGCGACAAGGGCATCCCAGGAGGTCCAAAGAGGCGAAAACGAGGAAAGTGTAGCGGCATCTAGAGGAACAAAAGACGGCATAAACGTAAACTGTCGGAGGTCCGCGCGGATTTCTTGGATCGGCTCTGGACACCCCCTGCCTGGCGTGCGGAGCGCGCCAGGGGCGGCACCAGAGGCGCCGCCAGGGGGGGCCCAGCGCCGATCCAAGAAATCCGCGCGGAATCCAAGCAAGTGTATGTTGGTGCTGTGTTGCATTCTCTTCGCGACATCGGTATCCTCTGTCCTCCTCCTCCTGCCGCCTTCACTATACACATTTTTGCTGACACGCATCGGCTTGGCATGAGGCCCCACTCGTCGAGTAAAAAAAAATAAAAAGTGAGATCTAGGTGGGCAGTCGGCGCGCCCCCCTGGCCTTCGGGCTCCCGAACAGCTTGCGGTCGTCCGCGTCGTGCAGCAGCGCCGCCAGCCGCACCGCCAGCGCGCGGCCGCCACGGGCCCTCGCGGCCGCGCCCTCTGGCGAGGCCAGAGCTCTGTCCACGTGCGCCAGGACGCGGGTTGCGTGCGCGATGCTCAGCGGGCGAAGAACTGCATCTGGTTTAACAAGATTGCTCGACGCGGGGATCCCCAGATGCGCACTTCATGTTCTGGCGTGTCCAGCTGTGAGCGTCTGGCTGTGAGTGTCTGGGTGTGGGAGCGACTGCGAGTGGACGACGGGTACGACGACGACGACGAAAAAAAGAAAGTATCACAACAAACAACAACTACGAATGTCCCGCCATGCGGGCTGCCTATCCCAGGGCGGCTGGGAAGTTTCTACCCCCACCTGTCACCGAAGGGGTAAAAGCTTCCCAGCCGCCCTGGGACAACCATGGCCGATATGGCGGATGGATGTCTGTTTCACCGTTCTTTGCCCACTAAGATGCCGTGAGAGGGCTTGACGGCGGCCTCCTCGAAGAGGGCCCTCAGGAGCCGAGTCGCATCTCGCACCACGGCGGCGCCGTCTCCTGAGATCCAGGCGTTGCAACAATTTCACAGCAAGCGTTTTCGCGCGGTTTCGGGTCACGGGGCCATCACCGATCGATCTGGATCGAAAGATGCCGCAGAAAGATTGGGTCTGGGGCCCACAGGGCTCGCGATGCTGCAATCTTCTCGCGACATCGGATCTCAGGGTCTCGGAGGGCCAGAGGTTGGCGCCAATCGCGGGGGGTCACCTCCACCGGAGGAAGGCGGTCCTCGCTGATGCCAGGAGCCCGTGGGAGGACCCCCGGGAGAACCCGCACTCGCTCGGGCAGCCACCCTGCCATCCGCCGTTGTGGTTTTGTTCCATCCGCGGCCCCAAGGGTCCCGACCGCTTGACCGCGAGCAGTGTTGCGCCCCGGACCGACATTGTGATGGTCCTGGGGCCCAACAACTGCCCCAGAGGCTGAGATCGAGGAAAAGCACCAGGATTGAGAAAAACATCTGGAGCAACGACAAGATATCAACACCGATACACCTTCTCCCCAGACCTCTCCCGGGGTGCATTGTACCCATAACTTCGAGGACTATCTAGCAGTGGCGACGAGGGCTCTCCATGACGCGCCGCGGTATCTGTATGGGTGGAACACCGAAGACAGACCCAGATGATCTGGGCAGCCGAGCCCCTGGTGATTGTGGATCTGCGGCCCCAGGGGCCCCGAGCGCTTTACTGGGGCGAGCTTTCCACCACGGATCAACTTTGGATGGCCCAGGGCCCCGAAAACGGCCCTGGAGGCCGAAATCGACGAAAAGCGCCCAGATCAAAAAACACCTTGGCGGAGACCCGAGTCGGTGGACCCCTGGCGCTGGTGCCTCCTACCTTCCCTCCTCCCCGCCAGGGCAAGCGAGGTGTGCCGAGGTGGGAGAGGGGAGGGAGGCTGTGGGGGAAGGAGGGCGGGGTGGGAGGGTGTGGGGGGGGGGATGGGGGCGGCGGCGGCGGCGTGAAGGTGAGTGGGGGATGGGAGGGGTGCGGTCCTCCTCCGCCTCCTCCTCCTCCTCCTCGTCCTCCGCCTCCTCCTCCTCCTCCTCCTCATTCTCCTCCTCCTCTCCCCGGGCGGAGGAGATCTGCGCAGGTGAACCCCTGGTGAGAGTGCCAGCTCTTCAGGGCGCCTCCCGCCTTCGGCGGGCCCGCCCCGCGCTGGGCTGCGGCTCCGGCCGCGCTCGGGGGTCGGCATCGGCGCCCGCGCGCGCCTCCCGCGTCGCGCTGAAGGCTCGACTGAGGCGGTGGGCGGCGGTCCGAGTCGACGTCGCTGCAGGTGGCGGGCCTGCGCTCTCGGGCGGCCTGGCCTGGCCCCTCCCGAGCCCAGGATCGCGCCAGGCGCCCTCCTGGCCTGGGCATCCTGCCCCTCCGCGGGGCAGCGATAGGGGGGAGACTGGCCAAGGGGGAGGAGCGCCGACCTGGAATCGGCCAGGCCTCGCCGAGCGATCGGCGACAGGCCCCCGATGGCAAGTCCGCGCGTTCCTGGGCGGGGTGGGGCCGTCAGACCCCTGTCGGCGATCCATGGGCGATTGGGGGTCCATGCATCCCCCCCCCCCTCACGCACAAGGGGGAAGCTAGGGAGAAGGTGAAGGCATCTTGGAAGGAGGCTGCTACTTAGAAGGCGCCTGCCTCACATCTGTTGATGAGGGCCGCGCCTTCTAAGAAGCAGGTGTGCTTCTGAGAAGCCTTCCAGCCTTCCCCCCCTCCCCTCCCCCTGGCCCCCTGGCCCCCTGGCCCCCTCCCCCTGGCCCCCTGGCCCCCTCCCTCCCCTGGCCCCCTCCCCTCCCCCTGGCTCCCCTCCCCCTGGCCCCCTGGCCCCATGCCTATCCCCCCCCCTGCCGTTGCCCTTGACCCTCGGACCCCTCTCGGCCCCCTCGGCCCCCGCTCGGCCCCCCTCCAGGACGGCGCGGAGTGCACGTCCGCACCCGTCCTGGCCAGGCCCCGCCCGGGCCCAGGATCGGGCCAGGCGCCCGCCTGGCCTGGAAAGAGGCACGCAGAGGCATGCTCGTTCCCGAGAGCACCGCGGCGCGGCGGGCGAAGGCCCCCGGCGAAGTGGGGAGAAGGCAGCGGCGGCAAGGCGGCCAAGACTTGGAGGCACACGCGCAGCACAGACGCGCGCAGGCATGCACGGACGCAAGCACAGACAAAGACACGGGCACAGGCACAGTCAGGCACAGACACATAGACACATTCACACACACACACACACTCACACACACAGACTCTCACGCACACACTCCCTCACTCACTCACTCACTCACTCACTCACACACACACACACACACTCACACATACACTTTGTTGTCCGACGCGCCGTTGGGCCACCAACGTCGGAAAACAGATCGCATGCTGCTCGGTCTATGCAACGACCATCTTCCTCATACGCACATACACTCACAAACACAGACACCGATCCTGGGTCCAGGGTCGGCCAGGCCGGGATACGCGCGGGCGTCCACAGCTAGTTCCCCTGAAAAGAGTGCTGGAGCGAAGAGTGCCGGCGCACGAAGCGCACAAGTGATCTTGTACAAGGGGTCTGGATCTGTCGTGCTTATTCTGCGCCTCCTCTTCTGCTGCATCAGCACGCGCGCCTGGATCCAATTCAAAGGCCACTCACAACGGCCCCGCACAAGGCGCACAATGTCCCCCGCACAAGGCCTCTGCACAAGATTCGCGCGAGTACTCCTCATCCGCCTCCACTTCCGCCTCCTTCCAAACTTATTCATCCATCGCACAAGCTCCGACGGCGAGTACGTCGGCGGCGGCGACGACGACTGCGACTACGCAGACGACGGCCACAACGACCACGGCGACAACGATGACAATGGCGGCGACCGCGACGACAAAGACGGCGAAAACGACGCCGGACAAGGACGACGGCGACGACGACGGCGGCGGCGACGACACCGACCAAGGACGACGACGACCAACGACGACGCCCTCGACGGCGACGACGCTGAAGAAGAGCGGCGGCAGAAGCGGCGGGCGAGCACGTCCTTCAGGCGGAGCTCCAGCTGGCCGACCTGGGTGGAGAGCACGTCGGA